TATTTATTTATTTATTTATTTGATATATTATATAAAGAAGATTAACCGCATTATTGTCAAACACGACAACAACGACAGTCTGTTACTAGAAAGGTTTTAGGTTTTACAGAATGATGTTAGTTATATAGTTATAGGTTATAGCTAAGTGACAATATTAAATTTAAAAAATCCATAGTTGTTGTAGTTAATACTTTATTTGACATTTGTAGATTTATGTGTCATCATAGTTGCTTTATTAATTTTTCTAGAAACTCGCTTGAGTAAACATTCACAAATTAAATTAAAATCTCCCAAATACTGTTTATCTTTAATAAGCAGAGAATGATAAATCCCTTCCCTTTTCCTCTTAGTTAAAGAAGTTTGATCAATAATTTCTCCATCAGCTGGATCCTTAAGTAGACAGAAAAAGTCAATATCATCGTCCAAATACCTACTAGTAGGTTTCACAAAGAAATCAATTTTCTCTTTTTCATTGTTGATTTCAAAGTACAGAAAAAAAAGATCTTCCCCTCGTTTTATCAAATTTGTCGAATATCTTTCGTTGAGCGGAAAGCGAAAATAAACTTTATCGAAAAAGTTCAATGGATGTTTCGTCCTGAAATGGTTGAGCTGTTGACTGCCTGTACCTTCGTAGTTATTACAACAACGGCACTTAATTTTTTTCGCCTGGCAAAGAATTTCGTGTTTGCTGATATCGTCGAACGCCAATAGCTTGCTGCACCCCTCATAGCGATTCACACAAGGGAAAAAGTGGTTTACGTATCCAAAGATAGTATAGGGGATGTTGACTTGCTCGATTAGATCAACGACTGAATCGCACTCGAACAGACACTGTGAAGTTGTGTTTACTTTTCCATGACATCTTCCGCAAATGTTTCCTCCTTCCGGGTGCACACTGATAGGGCCTACCGTTAAATATTTATCGCAGAGGCGACATATGAGGGTCTCTAGAACTTGATCAGGGATAATTAAAAGTTCGTCGATGTTTAGCGAAGACATTTTCTCTGGAAAAAATATTGTAATAATTATGTTGTTTGAGCTTCAAGTGTTGTGTTAATTGATTAGTAAACATGCCGTAGGATGGATACAAATGTAATATTTAAATATTTACTCGCAATAAGGAGAATGGTTTCTTTTAACTGGTTTTTTAAACAGCAGAAAAACATAAGTTATATGATTTTAGTACCGAAAATGATTTCAATTTTAAATCCTGATTAACACAAAAAGGAAAATTTTCATTGTTATACTTAATAATTATGTTGGCTACACCAACATGTTGCTTGTTCGAATTAACAGTTAGCGTAAAAAAATAATATTTTAAAAATAAATTTCATGGTCTACTAGACGGTTTTTTTTTCGATGCAGTCATCGGTATTTTTTATAAACTGCAGCTTATTTTCTGTGAATTATTAAAAATGAATTAAAAACTACAAGTAATAAAAAAATGTGTAGCTGAACAAAAAATCATAAACAAAATAATTAATAAAATAAAACCAAATAATAACAAAAAAAAAAAACAATGAAGTGTAGATAACTTATTTTCGAGAGAAGAAGATACGTGGTTAATTTACGTTATTTGTGAGTTTGAAATTCTTGAAATCAAGTAATGTTTTGAGTATTCAAGTTAACTGAACCAACACAGTATTGGTGACCAAATTTATTCTGTTTCTGAAAATTACAGTACTGTATTCAGGTTGCGTTGTGTAAAATTTCAGTAAACTTTTTTCACATTCAACTCTAGCTTCAAAATTTTTAACTTTTAAATTTTAATAAAACTTCAAGTATTTAGATCTGAATATGTTGCAGTAAATAGCAAAAAAGGTAATTTAAAAATAATAGAAAAAATGGGACTTACAATCAAATTTTAACAGATAACACTCAAATTTTGACACCAGGAATTGCGAGATGACAAATAAATTGGCCCGGTCAGGTTATAAATCAATTTTTTATTCCCTGCCATCTAAATAAAAAAACTAATTATGAACAAAATATGAAAGAGTGCTGATAAGTGACATTTTTATCAAACCGTCTACATTTTTAAGGATTGAAATTAATACATCTAGGAAGTATAATATGTACCTACTTGGTAAAATTATTATTTGCAATCGAAAGTGGTAAGATTTTTTTTTATGGTAATGTCTAACTTATAGTTATTGTTTTTTAATATTCATTTATGGAAAAATCTAGAAAATTTTCTGTCGATGTAACAGTTTATTTCAAAAATCCCAAAAAGTATGTTGTTTTTGTCTGAGGTTTGTTTATTGAAATATGTTAAATAAGTTAAATAAATAATGATAAATCTGCAAAATTAGCATATTGACGAGTTGAATACTGACTTTTGTTCCTTCAAAAAATGTTACTAGATAAATACTAAAATACTTCAAATCTCTATCGGAACATGCTCTTTGTGGTTTTTATAATGTACTTCTATTTTTAACTAAAATAAAATTTGAGAATTTATGAAAAATATTTAAAATTTCAGTAAAATTGACACTAATCTGGAAAATGTAATTCAACAACATTTATAATCCTCCTAATAAAATTGATGACGTCTTCTCAAGTGGTTAATGTATGAAACAATTTATTTAGCGATTTTTTTCTGAAAAGGCTTTTCTAATTTAGTGTAGATATGTATTCTGAGAATATTAATTAGATTATTATAATTATTAGATGCAAAAAAAAAAGACGTACGTACATACATTAAATTTAATAAGAGGATGTTCCGTGTTTGAAATACACCATACAATTTTTTTAATAAATTTTAATTAATATTTTTCAATTTTAGATCCATATTTTGGTTTCCTATCAAAATTTTCAATAACTATATTACATAATATATAAATAGTAACATTTAATAATGCTTTGAAATCTTGTAGATGTTTTAAAGTTTTCAGAAGGATGGTAAATTTTTTATCAAAGTATATTGGCTGCCCTCCACCCCAGCAAATTGATGATGTCACCCCAATATTTGGCGAATAAATGCTATCTAAAATGCGCAAAATATGATAAGTTTTTACTTGTGATTTATCAATGCATGCAAAACATTTAGATTTGCTTATACAGGGTGACTTAAAAAAATAATTAATGAATGCTTTGAAATTTTGCAAACGTTCTAAAGTTACCATATTCATAGTAAATCGTTAATCAAAATGTATTCATTTATCCCTTCAAAAAAATCATGACGTCATCTCAAAATTTTGTCGAATAAATCTTCTTGTCTACTGTCAATTATGCAAAATTGATTGAAAAACAGTTTTATTCAATTTATTAAGAAAAGTCCTTTATATGTCTCTCCTTTTATAATTTTGTTTGTAACACAGTGTGAAACTTGTAAGCGCAATGTAAATCTGGTCAGTTTTTGCATGTTTCCATTTTTTTTCACAGAAAATAGCCTTTATAATAAAATTTTAATAAAAGGGGGACAAAATATATCTAATAAGGATTCTTAAGGAAAAAAAAAACGTCAATTTCCCTCGTTTTTAACTAAACTTGGGAAGAAAATTGTCCCAAATCAATCCGAGTGATATCGCCTTAACATTATATATTTACACATGTTTTTTTAACTTATAAGGATTCTCATAAAAAAAATTAAAATTCCCAAAATTAAATATTAGTATAATTTTTCGAAAATGCAGGTTAAGTTTCATTATATTTCAGGCGCGAAGTTCTGTCGAATCTGATTAATAGCATAATTGAGTTTCATGACAGAACTGGTATTTTTTATGTTTCAAATTGGTAGTTATCACAAATGTCGAATAACAAAAATATAACAAGCCTCAAAATAACTAAAATTGTTTTTAACGAAATTTATTCAGCAATAAATTCGGAATGCTACTTCGTGCAATTTTCAATATTCAGATGGCGTAAGATTGTCTTCAGTTTCATACTTTGTTAATAATAATTTATTTTTGTGAAAATTTAAACTTCAAATGTTGCAATCTGACATTTGTTGTACCAACCACGACAAAATTCCCCAAAATTTTAAAAATTCCATTTTGATTTTAAAATGGAAAAAAAGGTGCGAAGTAGAAAAACAAGTAGAATAAAATATACGTTTCATAAACATTTTTAGAAAACTCATCCCTTAGAAGACTCATCTAACGACTTATTTTCTAAATTTGGAATGCGTGCTCTAAAATAATGTATCAACTAGTTTTTTAATATACTATTATGCATTACCTATAAGACAGGTTCTTATGGTAATGGGTAATATTTTTTAAATGTAAATAAGTACTGTACGGTTGGCGGCATTGAAATAAATGACGGCATAATAATGTTCCTGACGTCTCAGCGATTTCGTCAGATTTACTGTTAATTCCAGTTGATTTTTTTTTTTTTTTGTTTATTGCGGCTGGTATAAAAACATTAATATTGCTGCAATAGAAAGTCAAGCTTTTACATTGACCTTTGCGATGATTACAATAATACATTGCCAAAGAGCTGCAGGCCACACCTCTACTATTTGATTTTTATTTTTTTCTGCTGATTTAATAACAGCACTTCTACTTAAAGAAGTAAATAGTGTTTTACAATACTTATGACTTTTTAAATAAATATGTCAAAGTTATGATGACATTTTTTAAATAATTTTATCAACTAATAAAAGTAGATGAAGTTTAAAAGTAGCAAAAAGACACACATATAATTTTTACATACGCGGACCCTACTTGTAATGTACATTATTTAAATAATATATTAAAAAAAATATATATAAAATTTAAAAATAAAATTAAATCGCTTGAAGTTTTGTATTAATAATTAATGGTAAATGACAAAGCCAAGTTAATTCTATTAAATTAAAAAAAAAAGAATATAAGTACTTACATCTCAAGCAAAAACAATTTACTTCATATGGTTTCCCGCTAACAATCATCGATAGATAGGTAGACTTACTTTATATTTCCATTTGAGAATTTATTTATCTAGATAACAAAGGTTAACAATATTTTTGTAAATTATCATCATACACTCTGGACAAAGCACATTTAGCTCGCAGAGAATGTTGAACTGATTATATTGAGTGTTAACTTACAAGTAAGTATGATGTTGTTTCCTCAATAATTCTGGAGGACACGAATTATTTAAGTAAATATTGACATTTGATACGATACCAGGACAAAAGAAGTTGTTTTTGTAATAACAAAATCAATAGCAAGGACGCAGAAATTGGGGGTCAGCGTAATTATTATTTATTTCGTGTATAGTGTATCCGTCTTATAATTTTTCATTTGCAGGGGCAAGATTTTAATAATATTGTGAGAAGCATAATATTTTGTATTAAAAAACCGGTAGTAAAATCTGTTTTTCATGGATATGGTGGATGCTAACTAATTTTTGGATCGTGCTAGGTATTTCATCATCTGCGTTTTTATGGAAACGTCGGGGTCATCTGAAGGAAAGAATGTAGTACATAAGACATCCGCACTGGGTAAATTCCAATGCATTTATAAATAGATATAAATCCTTTTATAGTTCTTATGTGGTGACAGTTTGCGTTACCGCATATATTAGGTGTCCCAACAATAAACTCATCCAGTTTTTGGCATTGGTTAATCGACTGAAACGTTCTAAAATTCAGATGTGTAAAAAATGTATTGGGTGATCCTCTTGAAAAAAAAAATATATATTTTCACTAACACCTAGCAGTAATGTTGGGAATTATATACAAGTGCAGAAAAAGTCCCAATCTTTTACTTTGTTTTTATTTTGGTTTTAGATAATAACATTGTCATACTTAATACACTGTGTTCGTTACATATTCATTATAGATGATTTTTGTACCACGTACCATATGATCGAAAAAAAAGTCATCTAGTCAACCATGGAATTAATTTAAAAAAGTTGTGTTAGCAAAATCTGTCACAGGAGTAGGAGTAGGAGTAAGACCATTCACTATTTTCTTACTTGACTTCATTTCGTTAATAGGTTGGTAATTTTGAATAACAAAAATTTCGAGTTCTGTTTTAAGCATTTTTTTAATACAGGGTAAATACAAATGTCAAAGTGACAGGTAACTTCAATGAAAAATAACAGTGGTGCCTTAACAGTTAAAAAAATAATTCCATGGCTGACTAGACATCTTTTTTGATCATATGGTATGATGATAACAGCATGAAATAAATACATATTATCACATTGCGGTATAGTAAGTACTTTAAAAAAGTCAACTTATATTTGTTAGTGTTGAGTTAGGTATTTATTAAAACTAAATTTAAATAATGCCCAAAGTGAGCAAATCAGAAATATAATTGTAATTTGTTATTTTGCAACATTTCCGGCTAAACCGAAAGTGTGAAAAAGTTGAAAATGTAAGTAAATTTCTTATTTGTTCTACGAAGAGAACTGACCGTTTGGGACTTTTTGTACACTCTGTATATATCGAATGTAAACGAACAATAAATATTAAAAATGGCATTGTAGTTTGTATGTATTAGGGATGCAGTGTCCAACTCCTTATAAAGAGAATTTTGTAACAATCAAAAAATTGCAGATTTTTAATATGGTTTATAGGCTAAAAATACAAGGTCGTCAAAATAAAAAAGTGGCGTTATTGATTGTTGAAACAAAGTCCATGTTTACTATCAGGTTATAAACGTCATCTTTAATTACTAAATATCAAATTAACAAGTTTTTTTTAATTGTTGAAAACTATGAGACGGAATAAATTGATTACGAATAATAATAATTAATATAAATAATATTTTCCATATGTTTGTGCCACGCTAATGTGATTGTGATAATTAGATACTTACATAATTTTATAATTTATAATGTTTGAAAAAAATTCCTGTTGTTTTTAAATGTACAATCGTGGCTACAGAAACCTGGACCAGTAGGTTTGACACACACTTCCCAATAAAAAAAACCGGTTTAATTAATGTTTTGTTTAACAAATCAGGAGCGTACATTGAAATGCTATTATGATATTAAAAAAATTAACAACTAAAATTTTGTTATGTCAAAGTGGTCGAGTTTTCTATGGCTGCGAATAAACATCAGAATTTAAAGTTTCTTATTTAAATAAATTTGAATCAACTCCCAAAATTGTATGGGAAATTTAAAAATATATTTATAAAATATTTCCAAAACTATAAAAAAATTTTGGTTTTAATGAAATATAATTTCGAAAAATAATAAAAATGTTATTAATTTTAAATAAAATATCACACCAAATGATTTAAACTTTGTATGTTTAAGCAAAAATGTACCATAATGATCATAGACAAAAAGAGTCGACACAGACCTACTTTTTCCTATTTTATATGTCATGAAACATCGAGCTTAGCTTACGTTGAGGAAGTAAAAATTAAGTTAACGTTTTCAGTTTGAGATTTAGTAGACTTATTTTTTTTATATAATTGTTACGGATTGTTGAGGCAGAAAAGGAACTACTTTACAGGATGGTTTGAAAGTGATTTTGATGTTCTGTTTTTTGAGAATGTTCCCTACACGACGAGTTCAGTGATATTTTATAAACCTACGGAAGGAAAGTTGTAGAAGTGTGACCTTAAATTGTGGATCAGTGTCATTTAATTTGTAACCATTATTAAGAAGACTTTTCCTGACGTGATTTAATTCTAACTGAAAACTATCGGGGTCTAAAATCGACAACGTTCTGTGAATTAGATAATTTATGGCAGAACATTTTTGGAACTGATGGTGATGAGATTTAACATCAGAAAAAGTAAGAAGCTCATTATTTTCGATGTTTATGGTAAATTTGATATTAAGATATTAGTTTGTTTTTATTTTTATAAATAAGAACTTCAGTTTTTTTCATTTGCTCCAGTGTTTCTCCCCGTTCATGATTCCTTTACGGAAGTGGGTCTCTTCAAAACCCTCAAAATGTTAGAGGGAATTGGAAGAATCGGAGAATGAGGGAAAATTTCAAATCTTAAGTTCGTCATATTCTACGACGCGACATTCATGCACTGCTGCATTGTCATGGTGAAACAGCACCTTTTTTGGTCATTCCAAGGCACTTTTCCCCCATTGCTGCCTTTAGATTTTTTAAAACGGTTTTGCCTTTCTCAAGGTAAATCAGTTAGGAAAATCTTGTCTATTACAACCCGGAAAACGGATACCATCACCTTTACAGTCGATGGTACCCACTGAAGTAACAAGAAGTCACACGATGTCGAAAGTATGAAAAGAAAAAGAAATTCAAGATTAACTCAAAATTCCTAAAAAAGTATCACATAATAAGGAAAGTGACACATTAGTGCAAGTTTTATATGCAAAATACGCTCTATGGTTTCTCTTTCTGCACAAAAAATTGTTCCATGGTTTTTTCTTTTTACGCTCGTTGATAAATATTGTATAAAGATATAGGTTGTTCTCCAACAATCTGATTGTAGATGATTACTTAATTTTGGTAAATTCCTGAAATAATACCTATATGTTTTAACAAAACATTGCAAATCAGGTAGAATACGAAAACAAAGGTCTCTTGTTTCCGTCTGTTCGCGTCTGTGTCGATTTTTATTAGATAGATAATTGGCTAAATTACCGGACCGACTGCTGTCAAATTTTGTATGTGTATTAGGAATATCATGTAGATGGTAAAACGCTAACCAAAATTTGCTGATCGTCCCCAACAACTTTTACAGTAATAAATGTTGTTTAAATTTTATAAAATAACATACTTACTCTCCCACTTGAGTTTTTACCTTAGGTATCCAGATTTTTGTAAAAACAATCAAAATTGTATAACAATATTTTAAAATTTAACTTTGAAATTGCAAAGCCGAATGCTCTGAAACTTTGCAAACGTTTTAAGGTTATCGGAAACATGGTAAATCTTTATTCAAAATTTATTCGCTTACGACTCCCCTAAAAACCGATGACGTCATCTCAAAATTTTGCCACATAAATCCTATCTAAAATGTGCAAAATATTATGAGCAATACCTTTGATATATCATTCCATATATTTTTTAAAATTGCTTGGATGACTCAAAAAAAAAATGAATGAGTCAACTTATTTTATTGATCAAATCCATATATCTAGTAGTATTAGATATATGATCAAATCAGAAACTGCAAAACCGAATGTTTTGAAAGCAGAGACTTTAAATACATAGACTCGCTGTTAGTAACATTTCTAATGCATTTTGGTGAAGCCACGGCGCATGGTAGTATGGACGCCATTGCTATAACTTTTATGTCAAATTAAGTGAGGTTGTGGTGGTTAGCAGCAGTAGTTTCTAGCACAGAACGTTTCTAGACCTCGAAATAAAAGTGGTTGTGTGTCGGGACTTACGAGATTGTTTGTAAATATGGCCATTAAAAATGATTTGGTAACTAAAATGTTTGCCTTAACTTTGCAAAGTAGGACCATACATTTTTTTTCTACATAATGAACATTTGTTTAGTATGGATTAGTTGGACGTAAATAATTCTTATTTTAATTTATTGCTTAAATTAATTTTGAGAAATTATTTGACTCTCGGAATAGGTTATGAGTGCCGCTAAAGTACTGAGCGTGAAAAAGCTATCTCTTTAAGACAAAAATTCACGAAATTAATTTTGTTTCAAGGACATTAATATTTTTAAAGGAATTTACATATACATATAGATATTATTATGCTAAATAAATAATTACAATTTGTTGTCTTTTTTATTTAACATTTTAAATTGCATTTTGTGACCGGAAAATTCAAATTTCGCGCACTTACGGTTATAAGCAATATGGCGGTCGAAAAACTTCACGTTTTTCGTGACACAGCCAGTCTATGTATTAAAGTCTCTGTTTGAAAGTGATAACTTTGCTTACGACAGTAAGCATGGTAAATTTGTAATCAAAGTATATCTGCTTATCCCCTTCAAAAAAGTGATGACGTCATCTCAAAATTTTGTCGAATTCTATTGAAACTGTACAAAATATGTATGAGCTTATACTTGTGATTTCTCATTGCATTCATATTTTTTAGAATTGCTTACACAGGGTGACAAAAAATTAATGAATGAATCCATTTTTATTGATTAAATCAGGAACGGCTCAAACATGGGAATACAATACTGTTATTATTATTTTTACACTGCACCTAACCAAACTCATACATGTGGCCCTGCAAAAATGTTGATGATGTCATCACAAAATTTTCTAAAGGAAAAACTCATTTGAAACATACGCTTCTTTACATTAACTTTAATATTATATACATATTTCTTTTAACTTATACGAGTTCTCATAAAAAATAAAATTTTGTAATTTTTCGAAAAAGCTGGACTTACTTTATTGTAGGTACCCTAAAATCGCGCGTATAGTCCGCCCCCGCGCATAGTCCGCCCTCACGTATAGTCCGCAGTTTTTAAATCTCCCTCCTAAAAATCAGATAGTCCGCAACCTCGCATATAATCCGCGGACAATGTGCGTGTCTGTATGGTTCGATAAGGTTCGATATTTGCTACCTATTTAGGTACCTAAATTTAAGTATCTAGGTACTTTTGAGAATCTTTTTATTTTTGTTATATATTTTATTTTTCATTTATATTGAGAATGCCCAATAAATTTTTTTATTTTGCGTTTAAATTTTTTGTTGGTTTTCCTACAGCGTATAGTCACAGTAGATCAGTAACGAAACTTCAGCAATATTTGCGGAACGGGTGTGACCTTGGGAGCCCGTTCCCGGGAAACACGAAGATTCAAATATTTCGTAGCATTCGTATGTGATTCATATAATACTAATAATTGTACACAAAAATAAAAATGGGTGGCATGTACTAGTGACATTGGCCAATTGGCCATTTTTTTCTTTCTTATAAATTATTATTAATATATTCAAGCAAAACATTTTTATTCAATTTTGATGTTTTAAACTGCGTTTATTAAATCCTTAACAAGTCTGACAAATAAGTTGTTATCCACAAGTGAATTGCAAAATTTTTATTTCACTCTTAATATTTTTAAATCACTCACAAAAAATTAAAAAACAACCTCAGGAACATAAACATTTTGCTTATTATTTTTAATAGTTTTCACAGAATACAATTTGTTTACAATTTTCACTAAAAGGTTGCTGCAACTAAATCAGTATTGTTTGACATATTTGTTTGGCTCTGTGAGACGTCAATTTGGGAATTGTATAAATCCCACACCAACACAATTCCAAAGTGTGTTTCGGAAACTATTTACTACAGATTATTTCGATACGAGTGCAAGAACCAACTGTGAAACACTATTTTATTTGAAATGAAAAATTTGCTAAGGTGTTCTTTTAAACAAACTTCCACAACACATCTCCTCTGTATTCCAGCCTCTTCAACAATCATTAAGTGATGTGAGTTACCGGAAACTCACCTTGAAAGAACACAACTGTTTATGGTATGTTTGTGGATACTCATTAATACGAAAATTCTTACATCACCACTTCTGCGAAGTTTGTTGTGAACTTTGCACATTCTTACGAAGTGGTACATCCTGTTTTAATTGTGTGACATTTTAAAGTCTTCAATGAAGATGTGATTTTTGGGGATTTAATGATACCACCTAAACATTTTGTAGTTTATACTCCGATGGGTAATACATTTTATGAGTTTTTCCCAATTTATGCACCGTAGTCGTTAACTGGTTTGCGGCTAAAAAACGAACCATACAAAAATACCATTCCACCACCCCTGCAAAGACTTTCCTCTTGATTACCTCGTTTCAGTTTTTATTAGTTGGAATTTTTTACACACTAAAATTTAAAAATAAATCTTGGACCGCTCAAACACGCACACATCGAAAATTAAACTATTTCGTTTAACCTGCAGTTTGTTGACCTCTTTAGCCTGGAATTTTCTAGTATTTTTTACATGTATCGTAAGTATCTATTACTTTGTTAAAATAAATTTTACGTTTGTTTTTAACCTCATAACCCTACATCCCGTATGATCCCGTAATTAATATGACATTTCTTGTTGACAAAACCAGACAAAACGTTCACCGAAAACCTTAAAATGAAAAAGAAACTATGTTCTTCAAGGTCGGAGCACCTTTAGTGACGCTAGTGACCTCTTTATGTCGTTCCGTAAGCTCCCCATGTATTTCTTATGGAATCAGCTGAGACTTTCATAGCCCTGGTATAGTCCGCTCTCGCCTATAGTCCGCCTCGCATATAGTCCGCACCCGGCGTCATAAAAAACAACGTATAGTCCGCGGACTATACGCGCGATTTTAGGGTACTTCAGGAGTGATGGAAGTTCTGTAGAAATAACTTTCGACCAATTTCTTGTTCTTAGTAAGAACAGAATGAATCATTTTAGTAAAATCATTAGGTACGGAACTTTGTAGTTTTGGACAAAATTTCTAACTTATTTTAGGCTTAACGAAATATAATAAAAAATCATTACTTTTGAAGCCGATTTTTCTTTCCAAACTGTTTAATATCTAAAAAAAAACCTTATTTTTTGACAGACAGTGTAAAATTCATTTGTTCATGTATTATAATTGTTTATTATGAAATTATACAAAAATCTGTGTTAAGAATATGAATTGATCAGTTAATTACCATCAGAGCGAGAATCTGTGAAGTCATAAAGTTAAAATATTCATGGATTACAAGATATCATTAAAACTTAGAACGGAGAGTTAAAAAAAACATCGAACAATTACTGAGAATAAGCGGATAATACTACAGGATAATACATTTACTGAATGAGCAGTCATAGCACTCATAACAAAACAAAATGATAGGGTAAAACATCACCACAGTAAGAAAATAATTTATAATGTTATGACTACTTTCAAGCTAATCCAACAATTCATTTTTCTCTTCTTTAGTTTCCTCCGTCAGCGCTGATTACAGTCGCACTTTGATTATTACTCTAAAGCTCCTGGTTCACTGGTTCAGTAAGCCTGTAAAGTAAACTTTAGTAAGTACATAAAACTATGCCAAACAAAATAGCAAATCTTACATTTTATCAATTTCTTCGTCATCATCGAACACATAGCATGGCTTATGAGCTCCTGGTCTGAATTTGTACGCTGTTAGCGCGAAAAAAACATATGTAGCGATTTCTCTAAACATTTCATCTAACCACCCATACTGGAACGGCACTGTCATTTTCAGCACATAAACAATGATTTTACTGGCATAAAAGTAACACACAACCATGACGTAAAAAAGCTTGAATAATTTTAATTTTTGTAGATACATTGCCCCTTCACCTCCTCCGTCTTTCTGTAATGTCGCTTTTCCGTACATGTTTGATACGCTTCTCAAGTGGCGAATAGACCAAAAACATGGAAGCAAAATGCACAAACTAATTAGAAAATCCACAAAAACAAAGACATTTCTCCAAGGTACATGTTCACGAGTTTGATCTTTACTTGTTTCTAACATAACTTCAGCAACATTTGCTAAAACTTGTAATGGAATAACGACCATAAAAAGACATTTGTCTCGTGGTGTTAGATCAGGTTTTATGAACCTCCATCCTGTGCTTATAAGTATCAGCACAATTACAAACAAAGCTCCTTCTAATATGTGAGCGGCGTAGAAAAGCACAGTCCAGGTTACCAACTGCACACCGAGTTTTCCAATATAATAATAATTTATTCCACGGAAAACTAAAGAAGTTGCTTTCAAAAACACCAAAGCAGTCATCATGTAGTGAATTTTAAAAACTGATGGATGTCTTAATAGGAAAATCCAAAATATCCCCGAAAGGAAAAATAGTATTGCCATCAAGATGTATAAAGTTGGTAGTGGCATGTCACCAGCAGAAAGGAAACTGTTAATATTTTGTTCCATAATTTCAGTTGTAAAATAAACAGAGACTTCTGTACCAGAGTGATAATAGGGGCAATTATGGAAGTATAAATTGTATAGTCCTTCTTCAGCCACTGTGGCAACAGACAGTGTGAACTACAAATATATTTTCTTAGAAAATATGTTTTATAAGTGTAAATAACTCCTTACTCTAGCATTGTAATAGGTTTTTCCGTTGATAACTTCCGAAGTAATATCAAAATTTAAGTTGTTGCAATGATCAGCATCTTTCTCTTTTTGTAGAGGGCTATTCTGGTAAATATGTACAAGCTGTGAGTCTTCACATAAAATTCTCAATCTAAAATATATTACATAAGTGTAAGAAAGAATTATGCAACTATACTTACTTTTTGGTTTTTAATTCTAGTATAAGGTAGATAATAGTTTGATCATTTACGTTACGGTCTAGTAAAATGCAACGATCTGGATAACTATCAAAATATGGTGTTGTAGCGTCATCTGTCGTATAATCCAAGGTAAAGCCAAACTATTGTTTTTTCATTAGTTATTTATTTCTAAGCAGTACCTATTACGATCACTTACCACTGCAGAATCATTGTCCGGTGTAGCTGTGAAATTCTTTAACTGGACGTCTAATATGCCTCCTTGGTAGAATCCAAAGGTGCTTAAGACAATGTGCTTACGTCCATCACTCTAAAATGATCAAAAATTACAATGAAAAGATGTGATTGTAAAAGCATAATGACATGTCGGTCTCTCGTTTTCATCTGTATGTTAATTTTATCAGATAGGTAACTTTTAAAACTACTGGATTGATTGTTGCGAAGCTGTAGATAAACTTATCACGTAAACGGTAAAATGTTAAGCAAATTTTATCAATAATATCCGAACTTTTTAAATCTGTATTCCAATAAAATTCAGTACAAATTGATGATGCTGTGCAGACTAGTTTCGGATATCATAATTTATTTTCCAGATTTAACGGAGATATAATATGAGGCGACACAGTAAAATAAAATTTACTTTATGTTAAATAAATATATTAAAATGAGATTAAGTCTACTGTGTACCAAAAGCTGTTCTGTTTTTTTCTTATTAAAACCACTGAACATTAACATATATTTAAAAAAAAATAAAAATTTTGAAATTTGAAATGTCAAGGTCAGTGATTCATAATAAGTATAGAATTGTTTCATTTAAAAAACGCAATTATTAATTATTTTGAAATTAGTGTTTTTTTTATTAGACCATTTTTTTCGGGTTGGCATAACTACAAAAAAGACGGCTTATTATCTAGGACTCTTACAGATGAAACGTTTCCTGAGGTTTGGAAAACAGCAAAGCACAAACAGGGTTTAAAAATTATAATACATTTCAGAATGAAAAGACCGATTACCTACTAGTATTTTTAACTTTTTGGATTTTTTTGCCTATCGTAGCCAAAACTTTATTATGCCATAAGCTTATTAATGTATGTAAATCAAAATAGATTCATGGAAGCAATATCAAATTTAACAAATCTATTTCCTTTCGCTGGGTACTGGTCACTTGCGCGCTGAGGTCTGTGGCTGGTCTAATTCTCAAAAAGGTCATAGGACACTTGCGTACAAATAGGAATCATTACCAAGAGATACTTAAGTGATAAGAAGAAATCGGCGGCACAGGAATGAAAAAATTCGAAAACTGCACTAGTCTTAGGTGTTTTTGATAGAGGTTTATAGTAATCTGTCATTTACCAAAAACAGTTTTATCTTAGCAAGTTATTAACTTTTACAAAAAATGATCAAAATTTGGAAACATTACGAGCTTACTTATATGTACAAGACAGGACTTTTGAACATCTTCTTTTGTGTTTAGTTGGTCACGCTTTAATGGATTTTTCTTTTGTTGGTTTATTTATTAATGAAAATAACACCTTGATTTATTAATAATAATGCACAACGATTGATGACTTCTGGTTGTTTTAATTATTGTCCAAAAAAAAAAACAAAGGTGCATTTCAGTCACCATCGTTACCAAGAAATCGGACAGTAAGCCGGAGGTATCACGCATTAAATGCGTGCAGTGTTGCCGATTTTACTTTTATAAAATTATAGTCTTTGCCATTTCTATTAGCCAATAACACGTGACGTCACGCTGTGGCGGGAACTCAGCGTTTGACAAGCGCCGTGAAACTCCATAAGTGGCAATGTTAACATTTTCGCATTTCATTTAAAAGTGTAGGTATTTATCTACAAAATAAACACGTGAATAGCTTCTTTCATATCTTTTCTGTGTATCAGGGTGCTTTTTTTGGCGATTTGAGTTTAAAAATACATCATAAAAATAAAAATACAGAACACTGTTTTGGTCTGAATTCCTCGTCACCCAAAATACATCCGTGTGTTTTAAGCGGTAAATCGGTAAATATTTTCGTTTGCGGTTAATGTGACGGGTTTAAGTGAAGGTGTGTGATTTGTTTTTAAAGTATGGATAATTTAAGTGATTATGCACGATGTCTTTCTGTCAAGCAGAAAAACAGATATGTACAAAAGTTAAACAATTTAAACGGCGGAGACCCTTATACAATGAGTGCAAGTGATTTTAATTTGTGTTTAGACCATGTCCCTACCATAACAATGAATACCATTGTAAACTTTTTTATTTTTGGAATAAGTAAAATAACCCACAATGAAATTCGTGCATTCAAAAGTCTAGAGGCATTTATTCAGTTTTCTCTTTTTTAAACGACTGTGTCTTTCAACATTACAAGTATTATGAGTGGATTTATTTTGATATCCCAAATTTTGTGATGGAACATAATCAGGATGGTCCACATCCGACAAATCTGCAGGTTTACCTAAAAGAGCACCAATGTAGTAATTTATTAGAAACTGTAAATCTAATAGGTAGTTACTGTACCTAAAATAAAATGATCCGAACAAACATAGGAATACTTTACTTTGGCTTCGTTAAATTCACTCGTTTCAAGGCTTTTAACCAAAGCTTCCGCTTTTTTTCCCATCCTGTATATATTTACCTTTATTGTTGCTAATTGCTGGGAAAGGAAAATAAAATTTGTCCGCATTTCTGGTGCTTCGATTCGCGCAACCCACAACAGCACAAAATTTAGGCATTTTCTCCTAAAATATAAAATATTATAATATTAAGATGCTAGTGTATTTAAAAAACATTGATGTACATTAACAAAGAATTAATTTGCAAAACAAATGATATAAGATGCAGCGAAGTTAACCTGTACATCACATTGGAAAACATTATATTTTAAGCCTATTCAAACGTTATGGTGCGTTTTACAGATATCTACACAGTGTAGAAACTGTAACAAACTTACCAAACTATAAAAAGACAGTTGACACACACACAAATTTAAATGAATTCCGAAAATATTAGCATTGACTCTTATGAGAAAACCGGCTAGTTGTCAAACGCTGCCATCTTGGTGACCTCGGATGACGTCAGTGTATTTGGCTAATTGAAACACCACTTGTTGATCGTAAATTTGGCAACGTTCATATTCACACAATTTTCTGACTAAAGTCAATCAACCGAAAACTGTTAGCAATTGCTAAATTTTAGGAAAAATCAACAGGTGGTGTTTCAATAGAAATGGCAAAGACATTACGTTTGTTTTTCGTAATCTATATCATAACTAATTTTTTTATTTTTTTTTTCGGACTCCTGAAACCCCCATATATAACGTACTGAAGAGTTAATCCGCCATTTTCCAGACACCCGGTATACACGACGCACTCAAACATTTGGGGGAGGGAGCAAAGTAAATAAGAAAATATAGCAGAAAATAAACTACATATTGTGGTGACCCAATTTGAATCAAATTTTGCATGGTGAAAGCGTCATGACTCATGATTGTTTGGTTCGATGTTGTGTGAGTATGGTGAAAAGACTCTGTAAGTTAGCTAGGTTAAATTACTTGGTTTGGTAGTTAAAAAAGGGGAGGAAGCCTTTGTTTAACGAAAATTAAACGTAACGATGGCGCCCAGTTTTCCCCAACACGAGCAGCTAATTCTTTTGAAGGACGCCGACCCGTGTAAATTTAATTCATTGTTTGTAAATTCACAGTTCATGTTAGGATTTTAATCGGTAACTGGTTATAACACAATTTAACAGACATTAGATTTGTTTAGACGCACACTTACTAGGAGATTTCATGAAATTCACTTAGTCAGGATAACACCCTTTGTCTAATTATGAATAAGTTTCTGGATGCTAATACGTAAGTGTTACATTATAACACTTCTTAATTCTTCACACAAGATTGCTAATAGTTCATTAACGGCAGTTAATTTAACAAAATTCATAATTTCGTGAACTGGCGGGGTATTAAAATAATTTCTTCCCAAAGGCAGTTATCATCGTTATCATCATTACATTACCGAGGCATTTCCTCGCAACGTTTAAGATTGATTACATCACCGAGACATTTCCTCGCAACGTTAAAGATTGATTGCATCACCGAGGTATTTCCTCGCAACGTTAAAGAATGATTACATCACCGAGGCATTTCCTCGCAACCCTAAAATTTACATCACCGAAACGCTTTTTCCTCGCAACGATGACTGAATATTTTGTGTGTTTATTTATTATGTGTTTTGTTGGGGTTAGCAGTTCACGATAAATTCTCAAAGTTAATTATTTTAAGTAACCAATCACTTGGATCAAGACATGATTTAACATAATGTAAACTCTTTGTTTGAATCGTTGATAAACTGTGGCAAGTAACTATTATTAATCTCATGTAAATTTGTTAGCTTTGCAATTTTTCACCTCATACAATATTTCTCTATCTCACAATTTTAACGTAATATTTTATTTGCACAAGTTCAGATCTTTTGTTTTCATAAATCTTCGCTATTTTTTTTTATGTAAATATTTTGTTGATGAATGTTTCCATCATATAAATTATCTGGTGTCCAATTTTAATCGCACATAAGAATTATTTGTTTTGAACATTTCACAAGTTTGTATGTCGAATTTAAATGTTGTTTATTGCTCTTTTTGAAACTTTAACACTTGTTCAGTTGTCGTTAACATCAGAGTTATAAGAATTGAACATTTAAATGGGATTGAGGTTAAATAACATAACATGTAGCAGAAGCGGGGTGTGCGGTTCGTAATCGAGCTGGCGGAATTTATCGCGCCATCTGCACAAAAGATGCAGGTTAGAATAGAATTCAGGGGCGGTCGAGATGACGTAACGCTGTCGGCTTCTACCCCATAGCCGGGACCCAACCAAACTCCGCTTGTGCTAGAACGCCCCTATGGCTATTTTTGTTGTGCTCTTGTTGACTGCCATAATTACGTCTGTAATAACTTGTATATTTGTATCCAGTTACTTTAATTCAGATTTTTATTTGTTTTTATTAAATGTATTTGATTCAGAAGGTTTAATTTGATTTCATTTAAATTTCATCCAAAGTTCAACAAGTTTATTTTGGAGCTGAGCAGCGATTGCGATTCGGCCCCCATTGGGCAGCCTGAGGGCACGTCACGAGTCACCCTCGCACGCCGTTTTTTTGTCAGTGGAGGAATAAATAATTTTGTGTCCTCCATAAATTTTGTGTTTTCTTTAGCGGTATTTTTCCAACCTTGGGTTCCATTTTGTCAGATGATCACAGCCAAGGCCAAATTTTCGATTGTTAAAAATTTTCGTGGGCTTTCAATTTATTTTTCTCATGTCAATTTAAGGCGGGATTTTGGGTTATTACACGTACCTATAATTATTACAGCTCAAAATTATATTCGCAAATTCAACATTAACAAAAATAACCGTAATTTTAAATTCCTTTTTCTTCTGTTATCAATACTTAATTTATCTAACATTGCTTCATGTGTAATTGAAATACCATCATGTAAGTACAGTGATGTTAAATCATTCAACTTATTTTCGCCCTTTTCAGGTATTTAAGTGGCGAAGATGATCGTTCGGCAAAACTTGTTGTTATGGGAAGGGACAAAAATTTGTATTATCTTTAGATTTCATTTTTCAAAGTTCAAATTTCGATTTTACTTAGTATTGGCTAAAAAAAACCGTTTCCAGAGTAAAATGTGGATTTCAAAAATGAGGAATATTTCCCTCGCACTTTTCAGCACATCGAAAGGTTTTTGATACTCCTTTATGTTTAATAAATCTTTCCTCTAAATTAAAAAAAAATGAATCTAGGGAAGGTATAACATACGGCAATACCTACTGTTGGGATGAATCTGTAACAGTATTACATAGCTGTGTTTGTTTACATACTAAGCTAGACATTGTGATGGAAAAACCAGATAAGAATGTCTCAATGTTTTTTTTTTTAATTCGTTATCTGTATTTGTTCTATACAATGTTAGTTTATTAGTAACATCAAAAAAAAATTTAGGATCAAACAAGGATCTAATTTTATGGCGTATTATTGAATTTTGTTCCACAGGATGTGCAGTTTTTTTTTTGACTGCAGTGTGCAACTGACCAGCCCCTTTCACTTAGTGTCTATAAAGCACTATAATTGTAAAGACTCGAATACTGTGTAGGATCCTTGGAAATAAAATGTGTACGGCGTAAATTTTGAAATATTTTGTAAGAGTATTTTACTAAACCAAGTGTCTGTCCTTTAATTATCTTTGTTTTTATTGAATTTGAATAGCATCCCTTGACTTATACAGCAACTTTTTTATTCCATAATACTCCTACATACAAATATAAAATTTTATTTATTGAATACATAAATGTTGTTTTTGTAATTTCCAAGTGTTTTTCCCTGTTAATGACCTTACCCAATGTATTTAAAATGTCAATGAAAATATATATAATATTATTAGGTATGTATTATTAATTAACTTACAGCAACATCTAATTTGCGTATTCGGCCCCAACAAGAAGAGGTGCACAAAAAAGCAAGTAAGAAAATTGCACCGCGTATTCCCAGTTTTGGACACATCATCATAAACTTAAAGCTTTTAAAAATTATTGTTGTTCAAGTTGGCACTTGTAATGTTCTTATGGAAGCTATCAGCAACATCACAGTGTAACCTACTGTACTGTGTCCACATTATATCCAGGGAAAACCTGTGGGGCTTGGGGGATTTTCTATGACCAGTAATCTTTAATGACGCAACACACAAGATTTCCTAGAAGGAACCCAGGAAGCCAATATAAAAGTAGCCTCTTTCCCCTAAAACATGTTTAAGATTTTTCTTATCGCAATGTTGGCAAATACATCCAGGTACGGGTGGGGAAAATATATTCTCCATCTCATTTTCTTTCTTTGCTCCATACTTCCACTCTCTCCACTTCTGTGGTCTCCACTCACATATAAGTGCTCCTCGATATCTAATTAGAATGAATTTTTTAAATTATTAGTTATTAGAAATAGAAAAAGTCGAAGACTGAAGTTGTAAAATAGACTAAAATGATTTTCAACTCTAGAGTGTTTTGTTTTCGAGGCGTAATGTACAACTTATTTTTTTTTTAATCAAACACACATTTTTTCATATTCTGATTAATCTCTTCTTAGACTTGATAATTGTAACTTATTTTTGAAATTCGGAGCAATTTTTGGTTATGTTTGAAATCTGTTATAAAATTTTACAGAGATATAAGAAAAGTGCAACTGAAGTCCTTACTGAAATTACACAAATTGGAAAATCACTCGAAAAATAGAAAATGATTCAGTACTACGGTTTTCTAATACTACTACATAATATAAACTTTTAAATATTGAACTTTCTACTTATGTAATCTTTAAAAAAAAGAATAAAAAAAAACGAGCACTTTTAAAACTGTTTTTCTTTATTTTTAAATTCATATGTCACAAGGCCTTAATTATAACATTTTGATGAATAGAATTTGATGGTCATTAACCTGTGGTTTCGGCGATAAAAATGCACAGCTGAGATTTGAAAATAATAAGGAAATTGTTTATTAGATGTTGAATATAATCTTATTCAGTGTCAGTTAGTGTAAAATTTATTAATTTATTAAATGTAAAATTGTGTACGACTATGTACAATTAACCAATCACCAAGAAAGATGTGAGTTAAATCAGTACCTACCACTTATGCAATAAACACTAAAAATATGGAATTAAGAAGATTGACTCCTCAGTGCAGGAGGATAACCATGTTTGACGCTTAGGGCACAAAATTAAGCATTTTCTTGAGTCTTTCTGGTAATCTAAAACTTCTTAACTCAGATTTATTAAGATTTATTGTTATATTACACTTCACTGAAAAAATCAGCAATAAATTACAAGAAATGCATTATTTTAAATCTGAATGAGTAGCCATAACAAAACTGTGTGCATGAAAAATGACAAGCTAAAACACTATCACAGTAGGACAAAGAAGTTACAATGTTAAAGCCTCATTTTAATATAATACAAAATTAGTCATACTCATGACTGCTTTCAGGCTGGCCCAACAACGCGTCTTTCTCTTCTTCAGTTACTTCTGTCAACGTTGATTGCAGGGGCACTTTGATTATTCTGGAATTAACTTTGCTTAAACCTTCAGTAGCTCCCGATTCAGTAAGTCTGTAAGATAAACTTTAGTACATAAAAACTACCACTAAACAAATCTTACACTTTATCAATTTCTTCATCATCGTCGTCATCATCGCTGAGTGCAAAATATGGATTATGAGCTGCTGGTCTAAATTTGTACGCTGTTAGTACAAAAAAGACATAAGTAGCCATTTCCCTAAACATTTCATCTAACCATCCATACTGGAATGGCACTGTCATTTTCAGCAGATAAACAATAATCCTAGTGGAATAAATGTAGCACACAATCATCACATAAAAGTGTCTGAATAATTTCAATTTCCGCAAATTCATTGCCGCTTTCCCATCAGTTTGCGACGCCTCTTGCAAGTGACGAATGGACCAAACAACTGGGAACAAAATGCAACCACAACATAGCAAATCCACAAGAATAAAAACATTTCTCCAAGCTACATGCTCTCGAGCCCCTTCTTCACTCTCTTCTAAAATAATTTCAGCAACATTTGCTAAAACTTGTAATGGAATAACTGCCATAAAAAGACGTTTATCTCGTGGTGCTAGAACGTGTTTTATGAAAGTCCACCCTGTACCCACGAGTACCAACACAATGAAAAGCAAAGCTCCTTTTAATAGATGAGCAACATAGAAAAGCACAGCCCATGTTGCTAAATGCACACCGAGTCTTTCAATATAGTGGTAATTTACTCCATGGAAAGCTAAAGAAATTGCTTTCAGAAATACCAAAACGGCCATCATGTAGTGAATTTTAAAAACTGGATGCCTTGATTGTCGTAACAGGAAAACCCAAAACATGCCAGAAAGAAGAAATAATATTGCCATCATGGAGTATAAAGCTGGTAACGGCATGTCACCAGCAGAAAGAAAACTGCTCATATTGTGTTCGACAATTTCAATTGTAAAATCAACAGAAACCTCTGTACCAGGGTGATAATTAGGGCAGCTATGGAAGTATAAATTGTACAATCCTTCTTCAGCCACTGTGGCAACGGACAATGTGAACTACAAATTAATTTTCGTTTAAATATTATTAACAAGGATAAATAATTTCTTACGCTAGCATTATAATAAGTCTTTCCTTTGATCACTTCTGACGTTATGTCAAAATTCAAGTTGCTGCAATGATCAGCATCTTGTCTTTTTTGTCGATGGACTGATAACAAAGTGGGAACATCATCCCTGTTCTTATAAATATGTACAAGCTGTTGGTCCTCACATTTAATTTTTAACCTAAAATGCGCCATGTAGACGTACATTAACAAATTATGTTAGAATACATACTTTTTGGTTTTTAATTCTAATATAAAGTAAATAATAGCCTGATCATTTGCTTTGCTAATAGGATCTTGTAAAATGCAACGATCCGGATGGCTATCCAAATATGGATTCATAGCGTCATTTATAGTACGATCTAAGCTAAAGCCAAACTTTTTTTTGCATTAGTTATGTCCAAACAGTATTGTGATCACTTACCACTGCAGAATCATTTTCCGGAGTGGCTCGGAAATTCTTTAACTGAACGTCTAAGATGCCTCCTTGGTAAAATCCAAAGGTGCTTAAGGCTATGTACTTACGTCCATCGTTCTAAAATCATCAAGATGTACAACGAAGGATATAATTCTAGTGACTTACTGTGATATCTAATTTGTGTATCCGTCCCAAACAACACATGCACCATAGAATGAGTAGGAAAATTGTACTGCTTATTGCCATTTTTGACACGTGAAGAGTGATTCAGAGATTTTAAAATTGATTATTGTTCATGTTTAAACTTGCGATGTTCTTGTGAGGTACTAATTTTTAAGCTTCTTATTTTATAATTCTCATAACACAGAAATTACACATATCTTTAGATTCCTTTTAGTGTACATTAAATGAAATCAAATTTTCGGCAAAATCCATAAAAAAACTTCACTAAGTAAAATTATTACAAACGTCAAAAATTTACATCGACATTTAACATGACATTAGTGATTTATGGACAGAGATACAGGTTTGCCAATATAAGATCACCGTGTTTCCCTTAGTTTATTTAGGGATTTTTTTAGCACCATTGTCAATGTGTCAATTGTCAAATTGAGCTATCAAAACAACAAAAAATCATGTAACCTCACTTTTAACAAGTTGTGTCTTGCTATCCTGAAGAAAAAGCATCTGACAAGATAGACGATGTCGAAAAGTAGTAACCCAAAGGTTCTTTTTATAGAGCCTTTCTACGGAGGCTCTCATAAGGTATTAATAGATACATTAACAGCACGTAGGTACTTCAACAGTGCTAAGTTTTTTTGTTACACTCGTAATTCAAGGTTTGGTAGATTATACACTGGTTACTTTACCAGCAAAAAAGTGGCACTGGCGGTCTCGGTGTGGTGCACTGATGCTATATGAACAAATACCTTTTGTGAATTCAGAGAGCGTTTTATTTTGTAGTTCTGTTTTAAATTTAACAGAGTTGTTAGGGCTCCGGCCGGATCTCCAGTCCTTAAAAAAGGTTGTTTACTTTCATGAAAATCAGCTAATATATCCTGTTAGAGAGATAAAAGAGAGGGATATTCAGTATTCATACAATCAGATAATTACTTGGTAATTGTATGTAGTCCTGTTAAAAATTTAAACTGAATGTGAATCTTTCAGTTTGTCAGCAGACGTGGTGTTATTTAATTCAAATTTTAACAAGGTGTCCTTTTTGGACAATTTGAAGAAAATTATAAAAATCTTGCCAGATTGTAGACCAAAGGAATTGAAATCAAAAATTGAAGCCAAATGTAAAGTACTCTATTTTCCAGTAGAGTATCCAGAGATATCTGTAAATGATAAACCATCTGAGATACTTCACATTGTTTGGCCTCACAGGTGGGAATTTGATAAAGGGCCAGAGGATTTCTTTAAAGTATTATTTAATCTTAAAGATGAAAATATTCCTTTTCGAGTATCAATTTTGGGGGAGTCATTTACTGATAATCCACATATCTTTTCAACAGCCAAAGAATACTTGAAAGAGGAAATAGTCAATTTTGGTTATACTGATAGTAAAAAGAGTTATTATAACATTTTGTCTTCAGCTCATGTTGTTGTATCAACTGCCAAACATGAATTTTTTGGGGTTTCCATGTAAGTGTTAATGTTCATAATTATCATTTCATTACCATAAATATTTTAGGTTGGAAGCGGTTTATTGTGGTTGTTACCCCATCGCTCCAAATGCACTGGTTTATCCAGAATTGTACCCATTAGACTGTTTATTTTCAAATCTTGAAGATTTATATTCAAAATTAAAATGTCTATGTTTAAATCCGGCTTTAGCGATAGAGGAGAGAAGAAAAATGTGTTTAGACTTTGATAAATATTCCACAGCCGCAGTTGTTTCAAACTTTGTAAAAATAATAAATGATCTTGTATTTTCCTGAAACTGTAAATCCTGTTGTCATGTAGATACGTCTCAAATTATTCACCGTTAAGCGTTCTGACACACTATGCTTTTTGGCTAAAAGTGTAAAATTACGCGGATTTTAGTACAAAATAAATATGTATTTTAATACATATAGGTACCGTCAGAAGGTCACTTGGTATACATATATTTTACATAAAACTTAAATGACTTCTTGATCAAAATTATTCGTTCTTACGACTTATTGACATTTTTTTTTTATAAAATCTAAAAGGACCTAATCTTAGACAGTATTTTTCGCTGTAAAATTAAAACTGGACTTCCTACGTTTTATAATACAGATACCCAAGATCATTGTACGTGTTACAGAATTTTGAAAATTTACAAACATCAGGTAAATGTGTACACAAATTTTCAATAATCTTGACTTTAGAAAAGTAGAAAACATTGAACGGTAATCAAACTTGCAGTCAATTTGTTTTAATTTTTTAAAAAGCTTACTTTGCATCATTCGTAGATTTTTACATATTTGTTGTAGGGGAAAGTGAGGCAGAGTGAGACAAGAGGACGGAATGAAGTATTTCAATAAAATTTGAACGATCTTGTTACATATAGGTTATAAAATTACAAAAGTTTTTTAAAGTTATATGACAATGATAATTTAAAAAAAATCACAGAATTATTCTATGATATTATTACAGGAAAATTTTCTTCAACTGAGTTTAAATTACTAATAAAACTTTTATGTAACATTCTTTAGTAAACATCAAGAATTTTGACTCATTTTATGTGGAACTCATGTTCCACGGGAAACGTATTTTAAGAAATATTCTATCTACTTTTTTATTTGGGGATTTGAAGCCCATTTTTCGGATCAGCAACTCACCTGAAGTGATGTTAGGTGGCATCCCTGTTGATAGCATAGGTGAATAGTTTTTAAATGAAAATACGTAATTTTCGAGATATGTTATATTTATTAAAATATTTAAATATACAGTGTTTCGAAAAACAAAATGGCGACTTACAAATGTTTCCTGAAAACTCATTGTATAGCTATAAACTAGAGTGCAGTCTGGACAAGAATGTTTAATTTTTATGTCAAAAATTTTTTTCGTTATGCGATACTAATACTCAATCTTATCAAAACTCCGTAGTGGTCAAATGGAGTTCTTCAGACACTAATAACATTTGTTTTTTTGGTTAATAATCACAATTATTGATGGGAATAATATTTTATTAAAAAGTTTATTGTAAGATAACAGGAGTTTATAAATATTACATCACACTTGAGCTTGACGTTATGCACACTGTAAAAATCTGACATTTCATGCAAAACTGCAACATTGGTCACATTAAATTTCTTCTCTAAAGCATCATCCAAAAATTGTTGCACTTCCGCTTCGTGGTATACATCTATGTCTACATATGTAAGTACGACTTAGGAAAAAACCCGTTTAGTTATGGAATTTTAAGTACATGGGCAGTGAGTGTTGAATTAACAAACGTTCAACCTGATGCCCTCATATCACAGCTGCTTATCAGAATAACTGAGACCTGACATTAGCACACGTGATCAAATTTTCACAGACATGTTAACACAGATTTTTACTTATGCTAGTAAAAATTGGGTCTGTACAAAAATATGCATAGTAAACTTGCATGTCGAGGCCTCTTCTGTTCAACAATCTGTTTTCGGAATGCACGATGCCATAAGTACTACGATTTCTTTAGGCCAATTGTTTCGGCAGTTTATTATAGTCATGGATTTTAAATAGCACCAGGAGTAAAAAATAATTGATCTCGTTTATTTTTTGCAAACTTCGACTAGACCAACGTTGCCATCGGTCTGCTGGACTTGTATCAAACACTGCGTGGGTGCGTTATGGTGGTCGTTGCTGTGGGCGGAGGAGGTTTGACTATTCCTCTTGCTGGGGTTCCTCCCGATAATCGTAGAGTTCGGAGTAGGGTGTTGCGGAAATCTTCGGAGAAGAGGCAGTAGATGTAGAAGGTGATTGAGTAGTTTGTTATTTCTAACAGATTGGCGATAGCACGGAATACCTGTAACAAGTATAGGTATTCAAAGTTATTATTAAATGTTTTCAGTTGTCCATAAAATAAAAATGTATAAAATGCAAAAATCCTTCCGAATCGAAGCAGATTGCTTATAAAGTAGTCCTATAATTTTTTAGACAAATTTAAGCATTAGTTTTTTGAATATTGTTATAGTCATAAATTAAATAAAGCAGTTATAGTTCTTTATTAATTCGTAGGAAGCGGATCCTACTTAACTCAGTTAATTACAGGAATAACTAAAAATAATGAGACAAAAAAGTATATATAGACACACGAATTGAACAGAGAGTAATTAAGAGTGCTCATCACCTTTAGGTGGGTAAACATCATTTTCGTCTAATAAGTATCCTAAAAATTTAAGAAACTCTTCGAACGAGGAATACTAATCTTACGTCTGTATAATCAGTGTATGAGTAGGAAATTTCTCTTTATTACATAAAAGTTAGGTATCCTTTAGATTGTTTTCTGTCTATGTTGTGTAACATTTAAGGCTACGGAACAAATTAACTCTGTATTGAGTGAACTTGAAACTTGTACAACTTCCGAGAATCTTTAAGAACTCTTGAGAATTTCCCAAAAAGTTAGAATAATAAATAAATAGTATCAAAATTTAAAAATATCCTTGTTCTTGCTGAGAGCAAACTTGGTGAGTAAATAATAATCACTTTCTGTCTATTTTATTACCCAGAACCCAAAATTGTGTTACGTGGTGTAATAAACAAACCCGTCGTTAATTTTTCAGTAGTGGGTGTTGTCTTGAATAATACAAATTAGGAGTAGATGTCCCCAGAAGTGACAAAGTACATATTTACTTGTGGTTTTATAATTTCATGGCCTTTCGTAAGTTATAAAAATATAAAAATACGAAAATGCAAATTGTTCTTTCCTACTGTGTAGATGATTTCTGAAAGTACTAAAACGTTTTCTCTGAAATTTTAAAGTTATCGATAGAGCGACTGAAATTCTAAATAACTTTACACTTTTTATAAACTGTGTTCAAGTTCGATAATATAGAGAAAGTATTTAATAATTTATGTTTATGAAAACCACACGTTTTTTGTTATTCTTCTATCGATACCATTTTCATAAGTATTAGTATTATAATTTCATATTCTGGTGTTACAAATGTGAGTTTAATATGTATATCAACTAAAATAAATACATTTATAAATAGGTACCTGTCTTTTGGAGTTTCGTATTTATAATAGCTTTTTTTTTTTACACAAGCTGCACAAGTAAAGCATACCGTAGCTGATTAGGTTTGATGTTTGCCTCTTAGTGTCCGTCCTTTCTTTGGTGTTAAATCTTCAAATTAAAGCTGACTTATCTGATCTTTAGGAATTTCGCAATTATGTTGCAAAGCCATTAAACCAAGGATAAGCTGTTATATCCGCTGCCGTAGAAACGATTAGCAGAAAAGATCCTTATCACGTAAATTTAGATGCGATGCGAAAAAATTAAAAAACTTGGTATCTATGGGACGCTGTTGACGTAACATCCATAGTAGTTTGTGATGTTTTTGAGTAGCATTTTTTAATGGCGCTGAATTATTTGGCATAGGAGTCACTATTTTAGGTTTAGAAATTTTTTTTGAAATACAGACAAAAAGAATGTAATGAATTCTCGTTGTCCAAAAATAACAACCGTCATGTTGTGTTATCACGTTATCAGTTATAACCTTGCAATATAAAACAGCTTGGTAATAAAGTAGTATCCCATACCCACAAAATCTTTTGTTTGGAGATAATCATAATTAACAAAATATATTTAGAATGTGTCATACTTTTGTAAACAGAACTTGGCCTTTAAACACGGTCATACAAATTCAGTTTCTTAGATAATGTAATTTTGCGAATTTAATTTTTTATGATTACTCGTCTAAGTTAAAATAAAGAAAAAAAAACATGACCCTTTTACGATTTAACCAATAAATGCATTGTTTCATTCAATTGTTTTTTGAGAAAAATTTTGTAATATCTCCATTATTAACAGACTTCTTGCTATGAAATTTTAAATATGTATAACCTGTCCACAAATTTCTTTATACATATCACCCAAGGACAGTTTTTAAACACTTTTGTTCTTAAAACTTTAGTGAAATTTTTCATTATGTATCTTTAAAAATTAATATTTCAATTATTTATGGAAATTTCGAAAAGCGGTTTATCACCAATGTTTTCAGCGTACAAAACTCTGTACATCTCAAAGGACTCGCCGATTTTTTTGTCGAAAATGAGACGCACTAAAAGCAGCTTCTTCGACACAACCATGGCTTTCGTTAAAAGATAACAAAGTGCTCAATTGTAAAATGTTAACTTTTTTCAAAAATCAAAATATCAACGGTAAACAATAAGCGCGGATTATTAAACCACACAAATTTTAAAGTAACTACATCCTCTGAACACCGATATCTCCACATATTATTACCTCTAAGTCTAAGTGTTCGGATGAGAAGACTAGCATAATCAAGGTCGAATATCGTATTGTTTGACCTGTTTAATTGTGTTTACGTCAACCGAATACTCTTCAGTATCTAATTAGGTCTATGTTTAAAAAAATATTGTTGGTAGATGGTGAAAATCTCAATGATTCTCTGGAGGACGACGAACAAAATCCTTTGTGACACTTTATTTTACACATTTGCTAAACAAATGTGACTAACACCTAAAAAGGGTTAGTAAATGTACTTGAAAGCAGGAGTGTGTGCATGCACGCAATAATGACAATTTCGTGCCGACCGCTGGTGGCAGTAGGAAGTGAGATTGTTGTTTAGAGGATTTGAACACTTTAAAATTTTGCGTGAAAACGGGAAAGTATGTTGCGCTACTACCTAGTTAGGTAATGAAGAGTGTTCGGACGAGAAGACGTAAGCACAGTTAGTGAGAATTTAATTTTGGATCAGGACAAACTGATTATAATAATTCCTAAGAATTAGATCTTATAAAGTAAAAAAGAAGTTTTCGATCTGTGTTGAATTTAAATTTCGTATGACCTTTGTTAACTTTGAAGTAGATTTTCTTTGTTATTATTATTATTAGATCCTGGGTGGGGGAAATATTGCAGAGCAATGCCATGATAGGGTCTTGAATATTCTATAGACACGAAAATGATGTCAATGTTAGTTAGAATATCAGCATTTGATGTAACAATAAGAATTTAATTGATAGTAATAAAATATATCTTAGTTATTTAAATTTGGAATTAAAGTAGGTCGTGACAAAAATTGCCATGTTTCAGTGATTCAGCGATTGATAAGGTTTTGAGTTCAAAGTTACAATCACAGTTTTAAATTTGTCCTAACTAAACGAGGGTTTAGTAAGCTAAGATAAATGTTTTTTGATGTCACACAAAAGCTATAGTCGGAGTTTATTGTGACCGATATGATTTAATTTTGAAAATTGTAGTGTATAATTTATTTGCTTTTTTTTCTATACATCATTTGAAACCAGGTTTAAAATATCATTCGTTATTAAGAAACGAAAAAGTAATTACATACATTTAATTAAAATATGCAAATGAGATCATAATTTTAAATTAACAAACTTTCAGTGTCAAGAGATATATTTTTGAAAGTTAGTTTACCTTTAATTAGAACACCAGTGTTGTGAAATTTGTGAAATAATTAAGGACACAGAAAAAATGTGGACGTGGTCATGTGACGCTTTTTTCATCCTCATTTAGATCTATTACCTACAACTCTAAAAAGATTAGAGTTTAGTAGGTAGTTTTGTAAAAAAACAACTATCATTAATAAAATAATTTCGGGTCACAAGTAACTGAATACGAAGTAAATTTAAAACAGTCAAAAAGGTCCTTAGTGTTAATGGCTAAGATTTGAGTATGTTAACATATTTTTCCACGAATCTTCCTTCATTGACACAGTTATAACATGAACTAAACAGCAAAGTAAACATGTATTTGAGTAACAAAATTTCCTTCAGATTTCTCATTTAAACGTCGCTGGTAAATGTATGGAGAAATTTCGATCGTTTGTATGATTTTTCAAAAAAAAAAAAAAACAAAATTGTCTTATTAATTTAACGCAAAATAATCCTACAAAATATTTTACTGCTAATGACATTTGTAATATGTATTTAATAACATTCTGTAATAAATAAATAAGTAGTCAAAAAACTGTTATCACTGTTAGTAGCTTTTTCAACAATAAGCAAATCACCTGTCATTGATTCATTACAGAAAATGATGTAATTAATCTGCGCAAGTTGTTTTTGTTTTTAATTGCAGCAATAACAAGCGTGTAGGTACAAAATTATTTAAAAGAGGCGTAAAAATGACAAATTACATGGCTTCATTACAAAAAACACACAAGGGTTCATACCATACGCACTTTACATGTTGGCAGTTTTAAATCTTTTTAGCTTTTATAGGCCTAAACACAGTAAACATAAAAATAATTTGAGGTTTACAACTTTTTTTTTATTTTTGCAAACTTGAATACGTGATGTAGAGACGATGATTGCATAGAACACTTGAATTTTCGTTGGATAAAAATAAGCAGTCGCTTTATCTTTTTTGTTGTTTTGCAAGAAATTAAATAAATACACTGTTGCATTTTAATGACAAAAATTGGCACTGCTTGTTTCTGGTTCATTCCGGATACTATTCATTGCGAAAATTGCTCCCTAAATAAATGTTATTGCTACTAAAATTGTTGCTACAACCATGAGTTATTCATTAGAGAGCATATAGAACAGCTTTGTAAATATAGATACTGCATGCGTACTAATTTGGCACATTGTAGTTTGCAGCTCTCACATAAGTTTTAATTATTCTGTTTCAGAGAAGGTCGGATAATTAATTCAATATATGTAAATTTTAAATGAAATGTTATAATTTAATTAAAGGGATACTTTGAGAATGTAACTATAAGTCGTGTAAGTTTTAATTTCATGTGTAAAAATTTCAATTTTTTTTACTCTCGTTAATGTTTGTTAGATAATGTCCCTGTTTGAGGTTTTTCCTTG